TATCGATCGGTAACCGCCTAGCACTTCCCCGTGCTTACGTCCAGCGATAAAGAGATAAACGAAATTATAACTTAATTGCGGCACGGTACACGTGTACGTACACTAGGCAATATATGACCACATCGTTCGTGCTTGTACTGCATCCAGTGTCCACTATTAAACTAGTTAGGTTTACGTTACATTGCTCTGAAACTGAGTAATTTTTCTTCACTTACAAATCAATAGTGATTAGTCAATGTTTCAGTTAGTTTCAATAGCGATAATACACAACCTCCCGTATTATCTCCGCGAGTTGCTCTTGTCTCTGCCAGTGTCTACTGTCGACACTTTTTATAGTTTAACATGAAATGTTACTGCCTTTTGGCGCTGGTCAAAAACGGATATGGGCTTGTGTATTACTGCCTGCAAGATAGTCTTAATAGTATTTCGTCAGACCCCACAACCAAACGTAAGTGCTCTGACGATTGATCCCGGTAGAATGGACAATTTCCACTTCCACTGCTACAATCAATCGATCAGAAAGAAGCTCGGCCCACAAATGTAAGGAATCATAGTTTTACTAGGCCGGCCAAGTTAAGTTGTCAAAGTTTGTACAAGTTGTGCTATCCGTCTCTGTAGCGCTCGACTTATTTTTTGGGTGTAGAGATAACTTCGACACATCAGTGCCGAATGAATAATGACATCAATAATGAGGACTGTTACCTTCAGGATGATAGTAACGTCAGCGGCCTCTGACATTCTCACTTCAATACTGGTCAAAATCGGTGAATCGCTAGTGACAAATAACATCACCTCGATCACTTTTAAGCACTTAAGCACATAATCAGTTGTACATGGCGAACGTAATCCCGTACTTGTATGTACATTTATATTTGTTGAGTCATTTAGTGTTCAATTCAATTCAAGCGACAGATTCATCTTTACCATAGTCACAATGATTTTTTGCTTCTGCATAAGGAAACGGCTTGTTCTACCCCACAGAACCGTTAAAAGCAACCCAACAACGGTTGGCCTTTCAGCGTTAATTATATGCGTATTGTTGCTTGATATTTAACATGTGCTGCTTTATTACAGCTTATGAACGCAAGCGTACATTAACATAATAATACCAGTCCATTATTTGTTGCCACTTAACAAGAAACAATATCACAACCGTTTGTGAAAAAGAATGATCGTTAAGCAATAGCGCAACGATATGTATTTCGTCCAAGTATTTATTATAAGATCATTTGCTATATTCCCAGAGCAACAACAGCTGCCAAGGTAGAACAGGTCCGGGACAGTGACATGCCTACGACGAAAGGGATAGCAGTTAACTGATTAACCGACTGCAAACACACGGAACATTGGCACCTAGAGAAACAACCAGAATAAGTGGACAACAGAAGCGTGTGTAGCTGTAAATATATTCGCAATGGTCATTGCCGTTATTGCTCATATATAAGCATAGGTAAGTGAGCCTATAAGATAAGTGAGCTGGACAAGATATACTTTCCAATATAGTGTTGACATTCTTTGTCTTTCGCTTGGTAATTACAGACCGCACTGCACTTTCCCATTGCAGATATACATAAAGTAGACCGAGTAGTAGATAAAGTGGACACGGCGTCATCTCGAACGGGCGGTTGATTAGTCGGTTGCCAGAAAAGCTTCATACTTCGAGCATCATCTATCATGGCTCTGACCATTTTCTGCTGTTGCTTCTTCCAGTATGCTACGTCCCTCCGTACGACGGGTGTGGAAACTGCCGCCGTTGCCATATCGCACTATCGTAGCGCAGAGAACATAAGCGTACTCTTCATTGGCTTCACTGTATGCCTCTGTAGTATGGCTCTGTTGCCGTAGCCGATGGTACCAATCCGTCAGCCGACACACGGACTTCGTTGCTTTCGTAAGTTATCAAACTGAAAAGAGGCTCGCACCAGTGACACGCTAGTTTCGGCCGAGATGTGTGTTTGTGTGTCATAGACACAGGCACTAGTGGACGGATGGAGGTAGTCTGTTGCGTTCAGGCTACCGCTGCTATTGCTATCGTCTACCATAATAACGGCGCAATGTGGGCCGCGGTTCTGACCCAGATCGATTCCAGCTCCAGCCGAAGCAACTATTCGCATGCCACAAACTACCACAGCTCTATAGTCAACTATGAAGGGTTATGGTGAACCGCTATAGTGGCAGCGGCACTTCTGTCGTCGTCACTTACGTCCTCACATAAGCACAGCAATCATGACGTACCTCCGTGGACCCGAATATCTGACTGGAGCAGACATAGTAAAGTTCTGTTTCTGAATATACGCTGTAACAACTAAATATACTTCATACGATTCATTTAATTACGACGACGCAAAGGCATAACGTCAACATGTTGTTATTAATAAAGCATAACCGGACATGAAATGAATCTGTCGATACGTAGAAAAACAGCTTATATATACATCTGGCGACTGCTCGTTATTAATTTGACACAAGCTCAAGAAGAAGCGTTTGTAATATCGAGCAACACCTACTTAAGGCCACTAACTTATCTAACCTCACGTATCGCCGCCTCTAATCCTTAAATGTTTTATTACTCTATAACCATTACTTGATAGCCATATAAACATCATTCTATCGATAGTATGGTGTGTAGGCAGCAGCCGTCACTGGCGATATCGAAAATAACCGTAGTCATTTATTGCTAGAAGTAGCAACAACAATCATTGATAACCTTACGTAAGACGCAGAAAAATATTTGTTAGAATAGCTCCTGTCATCGTCAGCTCAAGTAACCACTTACCGTTTTCAATATTGAAATCTTCTCTCCGATGAACTCCAGCTCACCTGCCAATTGATTGTTTAACTTATCTTAATTTCAATAATTGTTCCCTTTTCTTTATTTTTATCGTCGCTATTGCTGGCAGTGGTGTTGCTCTCGTTGCTGTGATTTGTTTCTGAGGCCCTATCCCGGGACGGCTGCACCTGCTTGTGTACATCTGCACCAAAACTGCACATCACCATTTTTTCTTCATCACCGATAACAACTGCTGATAACCACAGTATGAAGTGGTTTTCGCTGCTATTTTCCCTGCTTCCAAGAGCCAAACCGCCCTCTTCTCTCGATTTTTTATAGTATTCTAAATCTAATGTGTTAGAACGCTCAAATATAGCGAGGGAACTCGCAACATTGCACGTACCGCTCGTACAACTCTGTGCCTAACAAACGCTGACGGATCAACTGACTAATTTTCTTTACTTTTTGACAGATAGAGACAGCCATTAATGCGACAATGGGCACTTGATCGAACGAACCAACAAACAGCGGCTCCACTCTTAATAAATACCATACGCACAATGCACCTTTTGATTTTGCAGATCTGGCAAAGGATGCCCGCCTGGCTTTCGTTAGTCAGCCGATCGACCGTATTTCCGACTGACGAACGTGCGAACGCCTGTGACCAGAAATGCCTGCGTGACTTGTATTCACTGACGTCGACCAACAACAATAATTTTATCATCAATAACAACAACAACAACAACAACAACAACAATCATATTAGCCCCTGTTGTCTCAGGAGAACAGAGCAAGTTGTGCTTTCGGTGCGTTACTGAATGGGCGGCTTTTGTAGAAGCTATACGCTGATGGCTAAACAACAACAGAGCATGGACCGTTATTTTCACTGCTTGCGCTCTTCCGTATATTCCAAGCTAGATCATCACCACGGCCACTGCCCATTGGCCAACAGTTCATAGCCGTTTACGCTGTAGCTGTTCTGCCGAGTCGCCGTCGTCTTTTCTGCTTTGTCTGGTTAGATTCGGTTGGACGGAGGTTATTCGGAGCGGCTGTTCCCGCAAAGAGACAACGTAGTAGGATAACTGAAGTAATGTAGAGAGCAGAGTGAGCGAGTGATTGTGTCAGCAGCGCAGTAGACAACCAGCATCGTTCAGCATAGAGCGTAGAGCGCACCCTCCACACTCACTATCTCTAGCCCGCTGTCTACCAAGACGAGCGCGAGCGCGCCCACTCTACGAACAGTCGCTGTTGCTCGTCATATCGGCAGTACCCAGAGAGGCAAGCAGCAACCTACCTCTCAGCTCTTGCCAGCCTACAGCAATAGCTTACCAACGAATGACAACAGCGGGCAACTCAGTGGTCTAGCTCGTCTGCTCGAGCTAAGTTGGGGCTGCTACCGCAGCAGACAGCACTCGGGGACAATGACAGCGAACGGTTAGTGGCGACGATGTGCGATGAAAACAACAAAGCACATGGCACAAGCTACACAACGGCGTCGTCGCACATGCGCATTACAGCCCTCCCCCCCTTCCCCGTTTGCCGGCCAAAGCAAGCGCACAATTAGATAGCGCCTGTGTCTGCCTTACAAAACAGCCAAGGCGATGACAGCGGCGGCGGCGGTGGCGGCGACGACGGCTAGCAGACGACAACGAAGAACGGAACAGCTTCGAATGAGCGGAAGAAGTTGAACCTCTACTGGGACGGGCCAAAAAAGGAAGGAACTAGTAACGGAGCTGAGGAAACAGACCATGATGGATACGCGGCTGACAATGTGCAATGTAGATCATGAAATTACATTTACTTGGATTTCCTTATTATGCTCATTATTACATGAATAAGACGTACCAAATTATACTTACTAATCTCCCTTGAAAGCAACAGAATTAACCATTGTAGTTAAAATATTCAGCTGTTCTTAAGGTCAACGTTCATCTGCAAAGCTTCGCCAGCGGGCATTAGGGAAACAACACTGTAAAGATGTAAGCCTAGCACAAAGTATCTCAGATGAGATTGCTTGCAATTTCTAAATAAGTTAATAATAACAGGTGAATAAATTAATCGAGAATGGTTGATGGCATTGCCGAGAAGATAAATGAGACGTACACACATACAGTTAGTCTACCTGCTAACGTTACCTTAAGTTACTATTAGAAAATGCAACAAGACGCCAACTATTTACTTGTTTACTTTAAATCGTAGTCTATTTTTCTCACAATCAGTTGCTGTCAAAAGTCCAGTAATGGTTTTTGCCCGCATTTTTTCGTTCCTTTCTTCGAGTTCTTTCGCCGATTCAGGCTTTCCCCTCCAACGTTTCACGATTTGACATCTGATGTTTACATTCGATGCGATACCGATTGCCCCATTCCACCATACTTCAAACAGTGCCCAACAGCTTTCCCGCTGAATATGTTCCGATTTCCGACGATTAACGGTACCGCTCAGTGCTGTTCAAAGTGTTTCCATAAGGGCGGTAAGGGCGCGAGGAGGAGGAGGAGGAGGAGAAGGGCTGCGACCACAGAGCGCAGAGAGATAGATGCACAGGCAGCCACTGCCGCTTGGCAGCACTGGCAACAGCTAAGCGCAGAGGCAACACAGTCTCGGGTCGAGTGAGGAGTGCAGGTAGAGCTACACGTACGGGAGAAAGAAGGCGCACGGTCGTTCGCGGCCGCTGGTTACCGAGTGAAATAGATACAGCAGAGTAGGCACGACCTATTCGTTACTTGCTTTTGGTTTACTGTGGTGCCGTATGCTCCTAAGATCTTAGTTGGATGTCGATGCAGTAAGTCTGTGCGCTTTTGCAGCCGTAAACAGAAAGACAAACGTGGAGTCCTCGCGTGTAATTAAACGTAATGCACTTGCTACATTGTACCTTGGTGCTACCGTTCATTTGGGGGCACTATATGTCGTGATCTTGTGCTGTGTGCTAGCATCATCCACCAGCAAAAACAAGTTATCTGACAGTTGGAGAAGACACAGAAAGGAACCAACCGGCAGTAAAGTGTGTGCCTGATCTGGCATGCACCGAAAGCAGGCATGAAGTTCACCGAGCACCTGGCAGCGCATATTACACCGGAATGGCGGAAACAGTACATTGTCTACGAGGTTCGTTAAATTCATAATAGTTCAAACCGGACGCACACAATAGCTATACAAAAGAAGGAAAATACAAAGAGTATGTATACATTATTTGCGTCAAGCCATAGAAGCATACACACTTCAGGGACGTTTAAATTTGCTAGCTTCTCTATTCTATACTCAGCGTGTGCGCAGGCATGTTCTTCTTTATCAGGCCATATCTCAGTTGTCGTATTCGAGCACGTCTGTTCGAATATGATTGAGACAAAAGGAATGATATATAAAATCATTTATCTATCAGCGCACGGGACGAACGCTTCGTTCGCGGGTGACGCGTGAAAGAGGAGAAGACCGGCCCACTCTATGTGGTCCAACGGTAGGAGGAGCGACTTGCGCAAGCCGACGGAGTGCGGTTCAAGGAAGTGCCTGCCGTTGACTGCTCTATTTTTGTTGGCGACGCGCTCGTGCGGCAACTGCCGTGCAGCTCCTTGTGGTTTCTCCGTCATTCATTAGAGGATCGTCCAAATCGGCGCTGATAAAACTCCTGACTCGAACATTGCCACCGTTGAAAGATGGAAGAGATTTCCTGCTTCTGCCTTGAATGGGATAACAAGAATGGGTAGATGAAATATATGAGTAGACGGCGATGGCAAAGGAGGCGTATTAGCCCGTGGTGGCGATGGAGGGGCCGATGGTCTTCTACCACTCCGCCGGTCACTAATATTGTAGACTTGACTATTCGCTGTCCTTCTAGGTTCGCTCTTTTTAGCCAGTCACTGCTTTGGGCATGGATGCGTGATTACTGTGCGATCCAAATAGTTGCCCTCGTTGTCGCTGACTTTTCTGGCTAAGATTATTATTGGTATCGTCATGAAAGCAGTGATCATACGAGGAATCGGTTCCACGACATGATTCAACGGGCGGCGATTTGGTAATAATTAGAATTTGAGCTGACCTTTGCTGGTGCGAACAGGCCAGAAACAAGTTGCATTCGTCTGCCCAGTCTTTTTCTAGTCTTCGTTGGTTACAGAACTAAGGATATAGGCTGTGGAAAAACGAAACCCCACATGATAGTTGATGTAGAGAGCTTATATAGAAAGACGGGACGGTAAATCAATAAGGGGCTATGGTTTATGATACGGTATTGGTGTGAGGGTCAAAGCGCCGAACACACAGAGAGCGAATAAAGCCAAGATCGCTCTCTATTGCTGTCTGAGCATCCTCGTTCGCGCCCCTTTTCTACTCTTCGCCAAGTGGCCTCCTGTGTATTTCTGTCTGTATGTTCAACTGACGAGCAACGATCGGCAGTTTGTTAGGCAACTGCCGTGCAACGCCGGAAAAAGAGAATGTTTCCATCTCATGTGGGCTTTTTCTGGAAGATTAGACGAATAGCAAGCGACTTGTATGGTTGCCATGCGTTTACTTGAACTAATGAGCCGAGCGCCATGGCGTTCTGTAATCGCTGACTGCTCCTCGTGTTGTTCTCGACGTGTGCGCATCTGTTCGAATAAAGTGAGCGATTGTCGTAAATGTCTTGAACGTAAAGAGCAGATAGAGTCATGGTACACTGGCACAGTTCGGCTAGCGATGCTTACACTGGTGTGTATCATGCCTTGATAGGCCTCTTTGGTGTTCTGAATACGACCCTGACTCGTATACATCAACAAGAAAGAAACGTTTTACACATAGAAAAGTATTCAAACACGTAAAAATATTTTGGAGTGAGGGTAAAAGTCTTTGAAATCGGCGGGAGACAGGCCAGACGAATGGAAGTCTATTTAAACACGGGCTAGTTGAAGGAGACGGCATATTTTTACATAGTACCGACAGTACTGATTCGGGAGATCGCGTGTATATGGAGTAGGTAGTTGTGAAACTACCTTGTGTTTCTCTGCTGTCCGCGTAACACCTGAACAGTATCCAATATCCGATGTAATGACAAATATATCCATTTGTTTGTTTACAAGCAGCTAGATAGAGATGGAAGATCCTGCCGCACAATATGGCCGCAGTCTGAATCAGCGATTGAAGTTAGCATATGAAGATAACGTACGTGCTTACAGCTTTAGCCAAGCAAATTATTATTAATTGCTTCGCGTAACGAATCATACTCGAGCTCGATTTTATGTTTAGTACGAGGAAAATTATGCGTTGTCGCACAGGTCGATTTGCTGAACATTTCTCTACCGGAGCCCCACACCGTGTGTAACTGTGCTGGTAAATTAAGCTCATCACCATTGTTTACTGACCAAATCAAACCTGCTCCACCTTAGATGATGCACGATCCCCATCAAACTTTAGGACCTCAACTCAAATAATATACATTACGATATGATGATGCATCTGTATATCTTGAGCATTCCGGGATGACTCAATAATTTTTTGTCGGTAACCACTAACGGTCGCTTGCGAGTCGCGAGGATGAAGTTGTGTCATTCGAGTTGTGATAGCCAACGCCAACTTTTTTAGCGTTGACATTAATGATGTCACTGTTTAATAGAATCTAACTTTAGAATAGCCGTAACAGGAACCAGCCCTAATGCTGCCTTATTCTTACATCCAGATTCAAGCCCTTTGACCACCATAATGAAATCGAGATCCTGTAAGTTTCAGGTAGGCGTTGTTATATAAAACCGATTCGTAACTTTGTGCAACAATATTTAAAGTTGCTGCTGTCCAATCATTATGTCGTTACAAGGCTATTTAGGACGCGTCTTGTTTTTAACGACCGGTGATCGTGTCAGCTGGATCCTGCCGGTATACGAAAGCTACTTTCCATTGATATACTTGGTGGCTTTCTCCAAGCTCTTCGTAGTCAGGCAGCCTAGCAGAAATATGTACGTATACAGCCTAACGCCTGCTAGTATTCGAAACTGCCGCTGATTGCCTCATGAAAATGTTGGGAGGTTTACCTCATAATATCCCTTTGGAAACGTGTAATGCAAGCTGGTATATAGCCCTAGACGGTAGCTATACCGGTGGTGTCATTTTCAGCTAGGTATCTTTACTATAGCGCAGTTTGCGCTCGTCTCGTGCTTCATACTGTATAACTTAACGCAAGGGAGTCGGTCGGAGTTAACATATATATATATATAATATAATAGAAGTCAAATACCATTACTTCACATCCCTTAATCTTTTTCTTTTGAAGAAAAGATATCATAATGGGCCAAAAGCTGGTAAAAAATATGTTAACATTCTGGGCATTGATAATAAAAAAGTGAACATAGAGAGCTTAATCGGTAAACGCCTTTTATCGCACACAATAATGTACGTCTACATTTCATCGCTGGGTATGCTTCAAATCGAGTCTTTCTCAAAACGCACTCGTCTTTAGGAAAAAATCTAGCTGTCGAGGGGAGTTAATCAGCGGATATTGACACCACAGAGATTTTCATGTTGAGCTTGACTTTATAATAATGTGTGCTCCCCGGCAGCATAGACCACAGCAAGAAGACTAATCGCAATAAATAGCTTTTTGGGCTTGTTAAGCTATCCTTCGTTCCAGATGGCTTTCAATCTATAAGATCTGTAAAAGGCGCCCATTGCGGCTTAGAGGGGTAAAAACATACGTTAGTAAAGGCCCTCCTGTTCAAGAGTACACCTTCTTGCCTGGCAAAAAGTTTCGACTTGCTCGATCTCATAAAAGGCCTTAGATCTCATTTTCTAGTTTCAGCAATTGATGCCTTTTTTAAGAGTTTTAGGTCTAGAAGCAGAAGTGTACCGCATTCGAAGGCAGCTTTTAAGATAAGGAAGCAATGAGGAATAATGCCCAGAAAGAAACGAACCGGGCAAGCCTTCGTATTGTCACCCCATTCGCAATTCGGGGCTTACACGATAAATTACACATAGATGATAGTTTTCAAGAGCCTAGTGTAACGGGCATAAACTGTGTAATACGTCCTTAAATTCGATCAGCGTTGCCCACCTCCTTTTCTACTCAATTCATTACTTTCGTACTTGAAAAGTGCACTGCACAAATACATGGTCAGCAGTTATCTATAGGTGAAGAATATATATATAGCCGCTAACTTCAACCGCATGTCGTTACTGCGATCTTGATTCCTAGATTTCGAAGAGTGAGCAGGGGGGTTCCTAGGGTTAAAACTGACCAAACAACTTGACCTATTGCCATCGCGTCACTCCCTAATAGCACCTTTTATAATAAGAATTAAGCATCGCCATTACGATTCTACATACTAATAAATGCAAATGGAAAATACAGTCTTTCTCGCAGAACATATCTTGCATAAGACAAAGCAGCTTACCTTTGTAAATGCTGATGTATGATTTATTTTGCAATGAAGCCGTGTTTGGAGCTTTCCTAGCCGGCTTGCATGATGCGTTATTTGTTTCCATTCAAGCGATTGTTGCCTGTAGGCAACTATGATCGTAAAGTAAACCAGCATTTAAGGGGCAAAATTTATATCAGTGAAAATTAAGCCTGTGAAATTAAGCCACTGAAATCATTTCTAGCTACCCCGTAGTTAGCCTTAGTCGTAGTATAACTGGCCTACCACCATAGCACAGTTTCGTCATACTTGGGACAGCGATCTGCCTTCATCAAATGCTTGCACCAAAATAATGCTTTTTTTATTTTCGTGACAGGAAATGAAGACAAAATTGTACGAAGCAATCGAACGGGCACCCTCATCCGAAGGTGAGGATTTTTATCGAAGCCGTCATTACTTTTCATAGGGAATACTGAAACAGTATTATATTTACGTAATACCACTACTAATGCGGTTTTTCGCTCTCTTTCCGAAAAACCTACGTGCTTAGAAAAACAACAGTGTTTGAATGAATTTAAATAGTCTTTTGACTTGTGGAGTTGTTAACTGAGTTAGTTATTTCACCATTCTCTGCATTATGATATAGACAAGCTCACGTTTTTCTATTGCGCAAATGCGCACAAAACCAACATGAGACAATCTTGATATGTCTTTTTTTAGCTACACCTTCCTTCTGCCAAAAAAAAATGTTCCAGTTTGTTCCAGTGTACTTTTTTTTTAATTACTAGCGATTGGTCGTTGCTTGAAGCTCAAATTCGTGTAACTTGTGCAGCAATCAAACTTCCTGACAAGCTAACTTCGAGTCGCGGCCTGAATTGTATCTTCGTACGCCTATCAGATTTGTTAAGGACAGATACAGAATTGTCAATTTCGAATCATTGCATTTGCTTCAGCTGATTTAGCCTAGACACCTTCAGGATGTATGGATAAAAGGTTTCAATAGAAAGATGGGAGTGCTTACAATTAGTAATTAATCCGTGATCAAACTCAAGTTCAGAATTCTGAGCCGTCAAATTTATATCAACGCTCGGATGCTCAGTCGGTGGTAAGTTTCCATATAGGAATGAGTGTAAAATTACAATACCTTTACAAAGCTCCGTCTCTCAATGTAATGAATAATGGCGGTTCAGGTTAAAAATGTTAAGGACAAAATACAATCCATTTTAGCCAATATTTTACTACTAGGTTTTTAAAATTATCGCTCCATGTAACTTCATTATTACTCACCGATGTATTTGAACGATTTTTATCTAAATGACTAATATTTAAATTGTAAATTAATTTAGGAAAGAGAAAAATAATTTATAGTCGAGTGTTTCCGATGTGAACCTGAAAATAGCTAAGTGGCATTATTTTGTGGTAGGACGTCATAGGCCTCTTACAACAAAGCTTAAGGTTCTGTTCTGTAACGAGAACGTTCTGTTTATAACCATAACTCTAATCTGAACTTCGTGCATAATAGTAAAATTATTATTAGAACGAAGAAGCGATTGCAGGAGGTCGGAAGGACATTGGTAAAACAACGAAACGAACGTGATGGTCAAATGTGAGGTTGAAACAAAACGAGAAAGTGATCATTCATTATTTTTTCATTAATAATATTTGGAAACGACGAAAAAGGCGTAAGGTAATTATGTGCCGGCAATTTTACTAGGATGTCTGTCTTCTAAATTAAACTGTTTTTACTTATGCTGTTTTTTTGCACATGCTTAAGTTAACGAAATCCGTTTTTCTTAAAACCGAAAAATATTTGAAATAATACAATTGTTGACTATGAATCATATGAAGGCTAACAAGCGTTCTGTAAGCGTGCTCATAAAATAGGTTAAAAATTTGCAAAATAAACTAAAATTGGTTCTATTGGTCCAAATAAAAAAACGTTCTAAAGTAGAAAAATGATAAATGCATTCGAAAAAACTCTATTTCGCCATATACTTAGCATAAGTCTATATTGGAGGTTGCTATTCATTGTGCCCACTGTAAAGCAGGCGCATTTAATCCTCTCATATTCGTTCTATAAGGACTTGACACCTTCACCCTTCACAAAATACCTATGTGAATATAAAAATAAAATCAAGTTTTCATATGTAATTTTGAAGAGAACGTTGAATGCTTCAAAACGATTGAATTATAAGCACCTCTTAGCAACCGAAACTAGTACCATCTTAATTCCCGAAAGAAACTCACAGCGCTATAGTTTCTAGCTCCACAACCCAAAAATGTTGTTGAGCACGGAATAGTTTAAAAATGATAACCGGAAACATCCATTTCTATGTTAGACGTTTTGGTTTATTGTTAACGTAGCCCTGCCTACATTGAAACGCCAGCTATCTGTTGTACTTCAACGATTCAAATTCCTGCTTGTTTTTGTTTGTACTTGCTTCATAATCTATGTGCTAAATTTGCGGCAAAAATATCTCTATGAGCTTGATTTTTTTATTTTTGAGGACTGTCATTGTGTAAGGGCTGCTTGAAATGATCATTAGTCCCTAGCGTTTATATGGGTAATTGTTCCAAAGATCGTGCATATATTAGATATGCCCTTCTCTTATTGACACGCTAATCAAAAGGTTTACTAGAGTCATTGGTTACGAAAGACGGCATGTAACGGCTTGCGTCAGCCTACCAATATCTTACCAGACGTTAGGATCTCAGTTGTGACCAAGACTAACGTAATAGGATTCTAAACGAAATTGTATTGATGCCACTTTGGTTTTCTACAAAAAAACATATCATGGTGTTTCCTATGTACGGTAAAAAGGTGTACCGCTAAACACTGTCAGATCCTCAATTCTCATTTTGATTAACAGAAATGTGAATGAAAATTTGTTTTTTTCATTTCATTCAAAAGATAAAACTTCAAATTACGGGAACCACTGATCAACAAGAGCGGACTTTAAGGACTAAAGGTCAACAAAGTAACCAACATAGGACAACGTCGGAGAACAAACGTCGTTTGCAGATACGGGATAATGCTAAATGTCAATATGTGTTTCGTCTTTCGCATGGGTAGACAAAAATTCGGGGAAAGGCCATCTAAGTTTATCGTATCATTAACACACAATTTGGGTAATCATTCCGTAATACCTTAACGTTTCAGATTGCTTTGTACCAATAAATGCAGATATTCAATTATGCACGCATAGTTTAGCGTGATGATCGCAATTCTACGCGATTAAAGTCACGTGTAAAACAGATTAACAGCTTGCGTCTTGTATTATGTTGGTGTCCTCCTGAATGCTTTGTTCTTTGAGTACAATCGTAGCTCAGGTACTTGTTCAAGGTACTTTTCTTTTTCAATTGTATGAGTAATTTTGAAAAATGCTGAAGACTCGCAGCCCTTTACCGTAGGGTTGTGTCGGTAGCATGTGTCGTCATATTGTCGGTTTCTCTGATCGGACATTCTTCTGTAAATTGGGATTAGCTAAACACTATACTGATTAGGTAAAGCTGTGTATAAAAGGTTTACAACCTCACGTTACAGTTTGCGCGTCGAACTGCTAGTACTTACATCGATAATCTTCAACATGCTACTGTAACCTAAAAGGTCATTTATGATGTGATTGATTTACGGTTGATACGTCGACAGGTTCTATGCATTATATTTAAAAGGTGTTTGGGCATATGTTCTCTTCTATGTCTATCGTAACGGAAGATCTAGTCTGGAATAACGCTTCCATGAGGTAGTAATTTGCATTTCCTTTTTTCATAATAGCTTCGTGAGAAGATCTTTCGAGTAAGATCGACCATTAATTTAAACATTGGAGTAACCACTGGATCACCTGGTGTATTCGACAGTGGTTTCAGATGTAGACTCACGCACATGTTTGTGTTAAGAATGAATATTAATTTTTTGTTCTGTCTGCTCCGCTGGGTAACACGTTTACTGTCCTGTTGCTGATGCTGACTTATCAATGATTGGACGGACGAACTCGTAGTGGTTGAATTAAGTGTTATCGAACGCTACCTCGCCACGTTCGATGAAGGCTTTCTTCAGTATTGCGATAAGGAGCTGGCCAAGATCAACACGTTCTACGCTGAAAAGCTCGCTGAAGCTACTCGAAAGTTTAGCAACCTAAAGGCTGAGCTGTATAATTATGTATCGAAAGTCGAAGGCGGTCACAATAAGTTCACCAATAAGCGGAAGTATGTACCACCACTAACATTAGTTCAACAACGTAGTTCAAGGCATGGAGAAGTCAGCTAAATGAAAAAAAAGCATTTCATTCTCATCAACAGCTCGTCATGTTTGTTACGTACTCCTCTAGCAGAGTTGATTATATCAGTGTTCGTTTACGTCAAATTCTACCTGTACTGGCTTTCGAGCGACGGTTAGTTAAAAAAAAAAAATAGAAATTCTACTGGAGAAGTTGCTATTTCAAAAAATATCTACAGAGTAATAGTATATCGTACTCGAATTCTGTAATTATAGTCTAAACAGAAACATCTAAAAATATAGCCTTAAGTTGATTACAAAATGACTAGTACATGAAAAGAAGAAAAACACATTACGTTTTGATAGAAAACAATCTGTAAGATAAGAAATCCTAACCCTTTAAGCGTACCGGGTCATTTATGATTAGGTCTTTTATATGGGGGCATACCTGCTATCGTATCGTTTCCCTATCAAAAGGAGTCAGTAAAAATTTATAGAAGTAAACTGTGATGTTATCTGTGCTGGGCAAAAAAGCCGATCTATCGGCCCGTTAGTTGTGTTGCCCAATAGAATTAGCCCAATAGAATAGTTTTGTTGGCACTAGTCATTCTGTAATAGTATTCGCCCTAGCCGTAGCAGTAATCTTGTCTATCGCACTACATGGCTTCGTGGCCACTTATATATTATTAACTTGGTTCGCTCGACTTTTCTTTGCTGCAGACAGGGAGCGTAAGTCACCATTTTTGACATATTTTTATGTGTTATTTGTGCTCAGTTTCTGAGACGTACGTTTCACAGTCTATTATTAGTACAAGTGATGTTAAGAGGGTTCTAACTACAATTAAAGCTTCTAGATATCGGAGTCCTACCAGGCATAAACACAGAGGCGCTAACTGCATGCCAATTATATATTCCCCATAGAAATTTCGTATTAAAATATCTGATTACTGATACGAGAATTATTTTTTGAAAGAGACTGAATAAAAAAATGTTGCCAATCGCGCAGGTGGTCCTGACCGACACTACGACCTAAATCCATATGATCAATCCGTAACGAAGCCAAAATCATCCAGTTAGCGGGTGCTTTTAAAAAGACCACGGCTATAATCGATGGTCAAGAAAATGCTTAATCACCTGTCTGTCGCTATGCGTTGCGGGGCGAGGGCTTAAATATATGTGAATGAATCTTTCCTATTGTATCAGGTGAACGATTAAATGCAAGTCCTAGGTAGCGTCTATTTTTCTGCAGCATGCCATCTAATTGAATCTCCATGCAATAGTTTTTTAGGGTTTCTGATTATTTTCGCTTGAATCATTAACACGCATGCAGAAGTTGTTCGATTTCGTCATATAGTTTTCATCTCTCCATTGGTATACTGCGTTTGGCGAGCAGTCGAGAGTTCGGTGCCTCATCGATGACACGCTTACATGACGGGGGCTGTGCTTGCTGCTATCATAGTGTGTTTAATATGGCAATAGTTTACGATTTTTTTTATTACTGCAGGAGTGTTGCTTTGACAACACTTGTGGCTCCCTTTGACCGCAAAGCGAAAGAGGTTAAATCTCATACGCGGAAGCTGCACGACCTAAAGCTCGCCTTCTCAGAATTCTACCTCTCGTTAATATTGCTTCAAAACTATCAGAACCTTAACTTCACGGGTTTCCGAAAAATACTCAAGAAGCATGACAAGCTATTGGGTAAGTGAACACTTGACTAGACCTGAACTGGGCTTTTGTTCTCAAATAAATTCAATGTACCTCAGTGATTAGTGTCCCTTCTTTACTGCTAAGGTTGTTTTTTTCTGAAACATATATGGATCTACTTCTATATTTAGTAAATTCATAAGGCTTTCATAAACGATGTCAGTTCATTGCAAAAATGCCAATAACCATGTCACAGGTTGACGATGATAGTAATATGGCCGTGCAAAGAGTTAATGGACGCAGGGATTTTTTTTTATTTAAGCCCTTCAAGACTAAAAGACGTCGGTGGGTAACCGCTAACGTAAGAAAGAGGTGCAAAGTCGTGAAGACGTTTCGTCTTGCGAAGCTTAATTGAACAAATATTTTGATTCTCACGCAATGTCGAAAAATTATTACTGAACGGCAGGGACCAATTCTGGTGCTCAATGGCGCCAGAGTCACGTGGAGACAGCTATGTTCTACACGAACAAGGATATCGACAAGATCATCGGGGAGGTGGAAACTCTTGTTACTTCCCAGCTGGAAGGTGGAGATCGGCAAAAAGCAATGAAACGACTTCGGGTGCCTCCTCTCAACGATCAACACTCGCCCTGGATCACTTTTAAGGTCGACCAGCACTGATCTCGTATATTGGATTATATCCATACGATCGCAGCTTATCCAAATGCCAAATCGATTCCAAGCGAACAGAGCAGTAATAAGTGAGAAAACCGAAATCAAAATAGTATACTCATACACGTATGTAAGTTACTATTTAATTCATTGCAAATAATAATAACTTAAGCTAATTACATCTGCTCAGTTGGTTAGCACATTCCGTTACAGATCAACATAAGTAATAGACCTACTTACGTTTTTCTAATTCTGTAATAACAAAATGCATTTATTCGATAGGTTGGGTTTTTTCTCGGGGCCTGTTTGATTTTGATGGTGGCCGTTGCACTGTCCGCAGTTTACACTCAGGCGCGTAACGATTGGCGAGTTGTATTCAGGCTCTACCGAGGAACTTGTCTTGTTGGTAAGTTACACGTCTAAACATAAAAAAGAGCAGATATTTTAAGTAAGGCTTTCAAGCGAATTTTTGTTTTGAGTTGGCATGTTTGACGTTACATGTTTGTGAAGAAGCTTGATTCTGTTAAATAGATAAAAATTATGGACGAGGAAGTAATGATGCTTTTACTCAGAAGTCTCTTGTATCCGCGGTAATCCAGCGAAACTGCATTGATTGTCGATGCTGAACGATGGCTTTAACATAAACTAGAATTAATAAAGAAGGTGCGATCAAGAAATATTTGAAACTTCGTGGAGTCATCAGTTTCTTTATTTGCACACAAGTCTTTTGTGCCGTATTTAATCAGCTGTACGGTGACGATAGTGATATGTGTAGTTAGTGAAAGACCCCACAAGCCCGTTAAGTGTCGAGATGTTTATCAGTTAAATATACAGTCAACCATTTTCTTTGCGACTATGTTAGATGAGGCCGAAACAGAAAATTTCCACTGCCGCAAAGGTTACACGGAAGTTGGATGTGAGCTAATACCGCTACCTACCGATGCTGTAACGCTGTTCAAACAATCCATTTTCTGCTGATAGTAAATAGCTGCTTCTTGGCAAAACCACTGTACTAGTCTTCCTCTAATGTGAAACTGACCATCCTATTTTTGTCCTATTACACACGTAACTAGAGTATTATCAGCGTATTCTCAATGTTTACCTAAGTTGTTGTGTATTCGTCAGTACTAAGATCCAGCAGCCCGTGCGGTGTATGATACGCGTTTAGCACGAGTGGTTATAGTGCTCTAGGTCTTTAGGGCCAAAATTGCCCGAGATAATGTCAAGAACTTTCAATTTGGTTGATCTATTAGTTTTAGCTGACATTACTGATGCTATTTACAGAATAGTACTTATAGTACAAAACAGAGCAGGCAAACGAACGCTATTGCTTAGCGAACAACTGTGATATGATTCATTTTTCTGTAATGCTCTCCGTCAGCCTCTGTTTGGGATCTTTTTTTTCTACAAGTTTTCTAATGTCTACGTATTCTTGCAACAAACAAGACATCGTTGGCCTAACAGACTGTCTCCTCGTAATCATTTCATCGTTACATTGTTGGATTAGATCTTCCTGATTGAGGCTGCTGGCCTTACGTTGAGCAGGAATAGCGCATCAAGTCTTCTAACGCGAAATGTAAAGGTCACCTCTGACAATAAACCCAAGCGCGATAAACTGGCCGTATCTGTCAACATGGAAGTGTTATCATGCCGTTGCGAACGGGATGACCTTGAAGTGATAGACATGCGCCAAGGGCGGACGACCTGTGGCGTATGGATAAAATTTAATTTTCGTGGTGTATTGTATAAACATTGGTGAAAAAAACACTTTACTCATAACTGCTAAAAGGAATAGCATTAGCTATCGGATGAATCGAGCGGACTCTTTGAAGCGTCTCTGAATAAGGAATGAGATTCTTGCACGCAGACGTATATGAATGGGAGCTCAAATGTTTGAGAACTCCGCAATGCTCGAAAGGATCAAGATGGCTGTGTCAATATGAGACCAACAACATGCTTTGTAGTAGGAGCCATTTATCTTGAAACGAAAAGTGCTTAGTTGAAGGTGACCACTTTGTAGAGCATTCTTTTTATAATAGGTAATTTAATATTAAAGACGAATGACATTTTTGAAAATTTGCGGAAAAATGGAACAGAACACATTTTGTTTAATCAAAAACTTGTTCTTGAACACGTTCGAAAAAGACATAATGATCGAATGAGTCGGTGCAAAACATCTAAAAGCCTCAAAATCTATATATATATATATATATATATATATAGCATACTTCTAAATTGAGACAGTGAAAAGCTACTGGAATGGTCTTAGAATCTTTCGCAGGAAGAAACGCAGTGCCTATATCGTCGCACCCTCCTCTATATCAAAAGGACCAGCAAATGATAACGTATCGAATGATTAGGGTAATAATAGCAGCTTTCGGGTGTCTGTGCGAGTCTCTTGGACCGATATATCAAATGGTTAGCTGGATGCATTGCGTATATGAAGTCAGTATAATTTATTTCAGTAGCGTTATTTTATACCTAGATACATTATATAATTAGACGGATTAGTAATTCAGTTTATCGTCTTTGAATTTTTGGGACGTACCTATTGCTACGGTGATATCAATCCAGTGTCTCAGATCGGAGTCTCATTAAAACAATAGACGACTTTACGATTAAATCAGGATAACGCTTGTAGTGCTTGAGGCGATTTTACAATATCTGGGTCGAAATGCGTGAAAAATCAGTTGTGTTAACTTAAAAGGTAATTTCAATGTCTTGCTACGATTGTGGTGTGTAACCTAATGCGCATGACTATAACTGAGCAGACGCACTCAAGCAATATTAGAATTACATAGCATAAAAAATAGAAAAAAAAAATGTTTGAGAAATTTCTCTGGAACTATATAGATGGTTGCCTTCGTCACCGCGTATTTGACTTCCATACCGTGAAATAGTGCCTTCGAACTGCTGCGCATCTGGATAATTACGTAGAGATTATCATTAGTTAGTATCATAGTCAAACGTAGCGATCATTACGTTAACGTTCAAAATAGGCCAGAGTATGGGGTTAAATGAAGACCTCTAAGGCCATAAATAGAATGAAGGGTAACTTTTAATGGTAACCAAAGTGGAGAATGCGATAGGTCAAACATTAACCCACAGACACAATGGTACGGCTAATGCTGCATATGTTTGTAGGGACGCGGTGTTCCATTCAGGTCAAGTAGAAGGGTCGCAGCTTAAGGATGGCCATAGTTCACCATTATTCTGGTTTGAGGATCGGTAGCCCCTCCGACTGCTGCTGTTTTGCAGAGGTCCCCATATTAGGACTACACATGAGCGCAACAAGTTATTGAAATATATCTGGTTTTAGACACTTCTCTTATATCTTGTATTTGTACGTTCGTAGATCTACAAAGTATTCTTTAGTTTCGAGGTCCTTACTGAGTAACGTCCCCAAAACTTCGTGTTGACACAATAACCCGTTTGAAAACTCTCTTAATCTGAAATGTAAATGTAAACATGTTTCAGAAAATCTCTATTACAGTGAAATAAATAAATCCAGAAGTCAACCGCCATTATTATCGATTAGAATTCCATTTATCAACCATTTAATAGAAAAATTAACAAAAGAATACTAACAAGATAAGTTATAACATGTAAGTACTAACATTGTTACGTCTTAATATGTGCATAAAAAAACCCTTTAGAATGTGGCTATGCCTGAGCTTAACGTCTTGATACACTGTGACGCCTGTTGCCATAATGCATTTCTTTCGATTTATAGTACATATTAGAAGGTATTTCCTTCCGTATACTTTCTTATCTATTCCAGTTATCTTTCTGTTTCTAATTGGTATAAATGTATATGGTTGGCGAACTTCGGGAGTCAACCATGTCCTAATTTTCGAACTCGACCCACGGAACCATTTGAGCGAGCAGCACTTAATGGAGATGGCGGCGATTTTCGGCGTCTTATGGACACTCTCAGTTCTGGCGTTCCTTTACGCTCGGCCTTTGGGGATTCCCACGTATGCCAATCCTCTTGCGCTAGTCCTTTTCATGCTCCTGTTCCTTCTCAATCCAACGCATACGTTAAGGCACAACGCTAGATTCTGGCTGCTTCGAGTGCTCGTGAGTCCAGATTGATTCGGATGAACAGTTCACAGCCATTAATCTATAATCGTTAAATAACTAATAATAAATAATAATAGTAATATGCAAATATCGTTTAAATTTAATTGCTGACAAATGAATTCGTTTTTAAATTATATTTACATTAGCACTTAGCAACGCTACTCTGCTATTGTATACATGTATTGTATGTGTTTACGTGCAGACATTTTACTCTCTGATCCCTTTCCATTGTCCGTATTTGTAAAATCGATTTGGGAGCGCTATTAACCACATCCCGTTTGTATTGTTGCATGCTTTACTTTTGTCCTGTGGTTTAGTGCCGTATTTTCGCAGCACCCTTCTTCTACGTAAACTTCGCGGATTTCTGGCTGGCAGACCAACTCAACTCTTTGGTTCCAATCTTCACGGACGCTCAGTACTTCGTGTGTTTCTTCGCGACCGATTTCAATTGGATGGAGAACACGGGTAAAGACGAGCCTACTCTCATCTCGCTCGAAGGAGGTACGGAATCGCGCCACGACCATTGCCCATCATTCAAATCTCAATGAGAATCAAGTATTGAACCTGAATTTCAACCGCCCCGCCCCTTCTTTCTGCACTGTACCACACGTGGACTCGTAACTTTATCAGAGCCTATTTTTAATCCTAACATATCCATCAAAAATTGGGGAAAATTGTATTTTAAATGTGTCATATCTTATAGCTTCTTCCCGCTAAGGTTGAAGGTTTCCGAAGGTACACTAGCTTCATTTTCTATGGGATAGTCGTGTCTTTGTTGGTTGATTTAATATAATTTACTAGAGTAGCTATCTACATCTATTTACTACGGGATCTACTCGTATGCCATAAACCTTTCTGTCAATAAAATTAGCTGTCGGGAATCCATCCAGAAGGCTTTATATCTTCAACCAAAATTTTTATAAAATACATTAATTTATCGAGTAACAAAACGCGTATTGAAGAAGTTGTTGACGCGCTTATAGGATGTGCTCCAAGTGGTTTTATCTTCCCGTGGTGGTATATATACTTGACGCGTGATGGTGCTTCTGTCATTGGTGACGGTATCCGGATCCTCAAGAGCGGTAACGCACGCGCATGGAGTTACGCATCGACGAACAAGCACGAAACGCCTCTGCAAGCTGCCGTGTTTCGGTTGATTTTTCGGTTATCAAGACTCTAACTAGTTTTTGTGTGACCTACTTATGTTCTCCCATCTGCTGACTATACTGAGATGATTACGTTATGTACTTTTCTTTTAAAATGTCATATTTATCGCATAGCGTTTTGTAAATAGAGTATCTCAAATATATCGCAATCAACCGATAAACAAGTAGTTCGCTAAAGCAGTTCAACAAAAACGTTACTGGTTGTTTTTCTTCGAGATAAATTTTGCCTTGATGTTCTCGTTTTTATATGTCTAGTTTAATAGAGATTAGTAGATAGTTACTGTCTAGCTGGTGCCCTTTACCAAACCTTCACAATGTTCAGGTGTTCGTTAGGGCTCAGTAGATCGAATGGGTCACGATCTCTCAATTTACTTACTGGGCGCGTACGGCTTAAAATAGCTTGCCGAAACGTAATAGTTTGATAATGTATCATTCGATCATATCAACAATTATTGGTATTAAGGATGGGTTATGTTTCTGCGTTCAAGAGCATGGTTTAGTTCCAGTCTGCTGCCTGACTGCTTAGCGGCATGAGCCTAATTCGAGCAATTTGTTGTATAGTGTTTGCATAACCCTACATTGTAAATCGTATTAGTAGACAGTATTTCTACCGCGTTGGCATTTGCCGATGGTCATTTGTCCGCGTGCCTTTTTCTTTGTACCTGATACAGATGCTTACAAATGCATGAATCGTACGGCGAACATCATCCTTCGACCAGTGCTTTCCTGCCTTCCAGCGTGGTTTCGTTTCGCGCAGTGTCTTCGGCGGTATCGCGACACAAGAGAAGCGTTCCCTCATCTCGTTAATGCGGGAAAATACTCGACCACCTTTTTTACCATCACGTTTTCAACGCTCTTCAACCTTTACAAATGTAAGCAATGAATGAGCTGACATTTGCCGATATCTACCCATAAAATATAGATTTAATTCCTATGTAGGAATACAATATGTTATTTTGATCATAAATAAATAATCCTTATAGAATTGTTTGTCATGAATAGAGAAAAGACTTGAACTAGCGTGCAAATAGTGCTGTTTTTTATATTAATTATCGCTACATTCCCCGGTTTTATAGTCTTCATCGATCTTCCCACAAATGGCGTCCTTTCTACCGATGGTACACACGTTTCCATAGTACTTTAAATACAAACTTGACTACGCTTATTGGAGCTTCCCAAATTTTAAATATTGATAAGATTTAACTCTATACGGGTATTACTTGATGATAACAATGTATTTTTATTATGCTGTGTCTTCATTTGCATTTCAGCCCAGTATGAAAGTCTTAGCTCGAATCCGTTTTTCTATCTGTGGGTAGTGTCAATGATCGTGTCGTCATGTTATACATATACGTGGGATATCCGTATGGATTGGGGGTTGTTCGATGCGAATGCTGGTGAAAACCGTTTTTTACGCGAAGAGATTGTTTACTCAAGTATCCACTATTACTATGGAGCAATTGTCGCTGATCTCTTGTTACGGTTCGGCTGGACACTTTCGCTGTCTCTCACCGAACTCGGACTTATCCATGCCGACCTCATGGTGACGATACTTTCGCCGCTTGAGGTTTTCAGGTAGGAAACACGAATATCCATCAAGAATGTTAGAAAAACAGTATAAGTACGAGCAAAAATGGTGCTCGTTTATCCACAGACATATGCGATATGTTGTCTAGGTGGGTTCACTTCATGCTTCTTGATTCTTACAGACTCACGGTGTAGCGTGCAATCTCTTCTCCTTCCTGATCGAAAATACGTTTATTTATCCGTGCGCCGCGTAAATCTTTGATTATCATCGACTGTTCTGTTACAGACGATTCGTTTGGAATTTTTTCCGTCTGGAGAATGAGCATCTGAACAACTGCGGTAAATTCCGTGCGGTTCGAGACATTAGCGTAGCTCCTTTGGATAGTTATGAGCGGTGTGGTGCAGGAGGCGTGAGTCCAGCATTGCTCATGCGAATGATGGACGAGCCAAACGGTGTCATCAATCGTGGAAATAACGTTAAATCCAAGAAGAAGAACAAGTCGGTGTTATTTCGTATCAGTCAAAACGATCATGTGTACAAGCTAAAAAAATTGATTTGGATAAAATGTTTACTATTTATAGTGCCACCATGTTTTATGATATCGTATTAGCTGGGGTATAGCTTAGCGTAAAATATCGTTATAAGAAAATCAGGAACGGATTTGGTCGCACAGGGTGTTATCTTCTGTTATTACTACGGGTTGACTTCATTGTCTATGGTGTGTTTATATTAGGAAAGATTTTAACGGGTTGTGTGTCGTAAGGGGCATGCGTTCATCGGCTCCTCGTGACATTAACGGATGCCAATTTTTCCTAGAACCAAACAGTAAGCTCGTCATGATAAACAACGCGTCGTTTGGAATTTGAACGGAAATCAGGAACTATACCATCTCTGCTAGACGAACCCCACTAAAATTAAAAATCTCTTCTTTGCCCTAAATCGAAGGAATACGTTGTTATTCATTTTCATGCAGTTTCTGGAAAATTAACTTTCATAAAGAAAAACGGATGGTCTTTGATAGGGTTAAGATTTAAAACACTCGAAAAGATATCTTTAATACAGAAACGTATGGCCACTTTAGGGAGGAGAACATCAAAACAAGCCGCAACGATCAGTACTTTTTTCTACTTCCTAAAAATACAACTGCCTGATTATGAAATTGTATTCGTTTCTTCACAAATATCACAACTTATCACAGCTATGACGGTTTCCCCTATTGATGTGATCGTCTGCTAAAACACCTTTCCTTTTCTCGATTTTTCCTTACGCTCACCTTTGCTCGTTGTTAATCGTTAGAAGTCATAATTATTGTAAGGTACAAACGTCGTCTCAGATTCAGATGTTCGCGTTCGATCATCAGCCTCAAGAAAGTGTATTTGGGTATGGGTCTTTGATGGCCTACTAGCCATCTAGTCTTGTGCGTATATTAGCTGTGACAGTACACTGGCGAGAAAATCAATTGACTTTCGCTTAGCCTTGCCTCTTCTTAACTGTCTTGCGTGACCACCTTTTGCTGACCCAAACATGCAAAAATTCAAAGATAAAGAAATGACAATATGGCTTTGGAGAGGATCACTTTAAGGACGTTTGACTGACTCTTGCTTGCTGTTGATTCCGGTCGCTTTTTATGCCGTTATCTCCCGCCCTTTTGTCGAGTGACTGTTTGTTTCAAATAAAGCGCATATGCTCAAGTTCCGTGCGCTATTGGGCTCTACTTCGCTATTTCATAGGCCCAGTTTGAGGACTTAATTTTCGTTGATTTTTTGGGTCAGTTATGAACAGTTATTATGTTTTTTCAAAGAGCTTTGGTTCAAAATAGCTAACCATAACTTTGCTTTGTTAGTTATGATTGAGTTGTTTCACGCAGTAGAAGGTGAACGATCATTTGGTTTTTTTTTTTTGCTGGCGTTGCCTGATCTTACCTTTATCTTTTTCTTGTCAGTCGATCAATATATTACGGGTGTTGACACTATTTCGTTATCCAATTATTGACGCTATTTTTGCATAATGATAGATAATAGTGTTTTGTAAGTTACTAACTTTTGGATTCGACTATTAAACATTGATAATTTCAGGAAGAATAAGAGGCTTGCACCTGAAACCCGACTACTGCTCGAGGATTCAGAGGGACATCCCGATGTGTAATCTTCTCTCACTGAATTACTGCGCCTAAAAAGTCTCCACAAAGTCGATAGTTTTGTAAAATCCAGCTGAGGGCCTGAGTGGGTTGCTAAATAAGCGGGTTCTTACGACGAACCTTAGCGTTCTCATAACAAATTATCCTACCTATTTTATTAGAAATGTCGTCTTTGTACAGTTCCAGTCTATTCAGTGTACACTAACTCGTTGTACATAGTCATCAAGACCAGCTAGAACTCACTTGACACGTGATTTCTTCCACTTATATACAAGCCTGCACGTGACGAGTGGCTATGTGTACCTATCAAAGATTTTTATATGGATGATATAGTCAGCAAAACACCAAAAAATGGTTAGATATGGCTGACGAATTAATGCGGAATAGGCGGTTTGACTTCATGATAATTTATGTGACCAAAAATTAATGCAGAAAAGTTTCTCTTTGTCCACTAATGGCATACGACTCATCAGCCTTAGGTTATACTATCAATCGATTGCTTGTTGAAAGAATCCTTTTTAGACGTGACACTGCCTGAGCTGGTAATACGTCTTCGTTTTCATCAACTACACGTGACCATTTCTGGCCACGAATGGGTGCGGCTCGGTGCAATAATCTTAAAATTAGGCTATAGCAACAACAATAACATGTGCTTACATTTATACATGTATAAGTACATATGTATATATATAGGAGTAAATGATTAGGTAGATTTGCATTTTATAATATATATATTATAAAATCTATAGAATGCATCCATATATGTATATATATATATATATATGGATGCATTCTATAGATATGTGCGTATATTTACAAAACATGCACAAATAAATACATCGGTGCGATTTGGGGGATTGTAAAGCTGGCATCGTTTTTGTTTTCGAGCTTCCGATGGCTGCTAGACATCTCATTGGCGCCATCTCACACTCGTACAATCACACTACACAAACCATCGATCAATGTTTTCACAACAAATAATCTACGAAGTGTTTGAAGGAATGGCTTCGTTTGTTAGGAGCAGCCTTATATTATGCCATCCGTTTATAATGGGCTAGTAGTGCTAATCTGGCCGAAAAACCTGCGTCGAAGAATTAACTAGGGAAAACAGAAGCGTCATTAGCAATCGTGGTAATACAAGTCACGCATATATAACGTTCCCCTTACTTGTAATGTGTTCGATTTTTTTCCTAGCCAGACTTGGTACATATTTCGCTGGTACGGTTCTTGCCGGCCGTATCATTACTCCATGTTTTTTCCTGTGTATGTTTTAAGATGTATATCTGTGTTTTTTTAGGTACGCTTGGCTTTTTTTTCATGTTTCGATACGATGCGGTAGAGCTGAGAACCGCAATAAAGCCGTAGATAGTCAGTAGCATTCGAGGCAAAGATAACAGAGGTGTAAGCATAGCTAACTAACGACAGTTTTCGATATTTCCCCTATCTGTTTTTCGATTTTGTCCTCGTTATTCAACTGGTCAGATCCGTACACAGAAAATTGAAAAATGCGACAAAACGTCATATTCCAGTTTGATGCGATTAACTGAGGTGACTGACATGGTTTGGCCTTCAATATGTCCGCTGACTGACATTTGTAAAATATGATTTTACATAATGACTGTAATTGTAATCATAATATTTGAATATGATGTGATAATTGTGACGATAAATAAAAGAAAGCTATATTTTTCGACAGTATGAAACGTTTTTTATTATCAGTTCCACTTTTTTGAGAACTTAACGTCTGTCAAATAGTGCGAGAAGCTGTAGAGACCTCTTCGAACCAAACTAGTCTTAGCTGATTGCGGAACTGGGTGGCTTTTCAGCGTCAAAATATACCTAGGGTGAATTTAGGACGATTTGAAAGACGCACATAACGACTACCTATGTTTGCTAGCCTTACAATATTATTAGAATTAATTAAAGAGTAAGCTTACCATCGGCGCAGTGTTTTATAGAATTTCTGAATGATTCTTTTACAGTGATATTTTGGACTGGGTCTTCTGTTTACTATGTTATATGTCTACGCTGGCCTGCAATCATCTCCAGCACAGCAGCAAAGAACGATGTCAGGACAGCTCCTGGTCCAAAATATACACTGTAGTTTTTTTTCTTCATAGAATTTATTGTGTGTCAGCAGGGTACTAATATCGAATAAACAGGTTCTAAGTTAGCGTTCTGGAAAATAGAGAATCTACCCAGAGTTCGCATCATTTAGGATTTGATTAAGCAGGCCACCTTAGGATGATGCGCCAGCCCCAAACAACCCAAAGCGCAGGATCTAACTAAGTTTGCCTAAGAATGTCCTAGCAATCGGATCGTGGGCCTTGTACTTAATATAAAGACACGCCCATGCAATTCATGCTGAGACCTGCCAAACGAGCCATACACCGGGATCTGAAATCGGCGAAACTAGATGATTAGGAATGCATTGTTTATGCACATAAGGTAGAAGTCCGAGAAAAATCTTTTTTGCTTGGCTAAATCCATGACAGCCTGAAACATGCTTGCAAGAACTTCAACTGGCACATAGCGAACCAGTATAGAATACTTGTTATATGAGTGCTAAAAACAGATAGTAAACAGTCTTACGACCCATATAGTGACTGATAGCTTAAAGTTACTAATCTGTCACGTACAGTTCTCATGGCCATGAGAAAATCGTTGACAGTTCCACGGAAGCTTCCACAAAGACGGAAAGCTCTAGAATATTGATACAGTTTGCTAAACGGGGTACGTCTGGTCCCCCACAATGATCCCCCCATACGTCCTGCACCTGGACAACAAACAAAAAATCGACTTCCGCATCTTTTTGAAATCAGTGAGTGTGATCCTATAGACGACGACGACGACGATGACGATGATGATGATAGCAACCAGTTGCATACGTGTGTATTGGCCCGAATACTAGGACTAACTTCAGAGCCTTTCTTGGAAAGGTAGCAGTGGGCCACTTATTTCTCACACAAGCATCATATCCGCCTATAATAATCAGCAAAAAATGTAGTGCCAACTGGCAAATAGTCAGTACTGAACTTGTTTTGTCTGTTAACTATCTGTTACAGGCCGTACAGCCTATCGACAGCGATCGTGTTAATCAAATTATGCTATGTCATTTATTGGAGTATTTAATAATATAGCTTTGCTATATACCCACGTTGCTAAAACAGCAATGCTAGAAAATAACATCATGCTAACGTTTTTGGGTCGTCACAACGCAAGAGTGACAGCAGTTGGTCACGTAGCCCCGAGTTTATTCATATTTGCGTGTTGTATGTATTTAGCCATGAGCTTGGGAACGAATATGCACCTATCTAATAATAAACATTATGGCCCACCATTACTATTGCGATGCGGTTAAATAGTGGGACAAGCAAACCGTCGAAATAAACATAAAGTAGACAACTGTGGTCGTTTATAAAAACAGGCGGATCCAGACACAGACGGTCAGTTACATTGCAGTGCTTGTTCTAAACGATCTTATTGATTTTCGATGAATAGGCGACCTGGCATTATTCCACAAAGTCAACCTGCGGGCTTAGAATCTAGTCATCGGCAAGAATAAACTAAACAACTGATCAAATAACGATTTTTTTCGATGGTATTGTGAGTGCTCTAGTGAAATTGATAACGAGAAAAGAGCTAATCTTGAATGATGAGAAAATGACGGAGTGGTACTCCGGTACGACGGAACAAAATTTACGTTGAATATTTTAGTTACCATGATACCATAGGAAGCGGGATATGGCTTGTAAGTTAATCTACCTCGTACGTTTTGGCGGATGCGTCACTTTGACATATTGATATTAGCGAGAAGGAAGCTTTTATATTAACCGTTATTTCGTGACCTCGTGCCGTACAATGTCTCTGAGGAAAGCCTCGAAGTTGATCGTAGCCCCAGGTTAGTATGATGTCAATCGACATGAAAGCATGCTGTGTAGCCGATGGTCTGTATCTAGGGCAGCATTCAAAACCTTGACGCAATTACCTTCGAGCTCTGCGGAACTGGCTCTAACAATGTAATTTGAATGAACACACTGACACCCACAAATCGACGACCTACTTTTATTCCTCATTCATGAAATGAAAATATTTTGCAGTTTTCGTGTTCCCCTATCATATATAGTAATAGACAAGCTAAGCTGCTTTCGTATTTTTTATCCACTTTCGTCTCGGACTCTCCCTTCATTCAGATTAAAGAAGGCATTTTTTTTTTCGAAGAATACACACCTGTGCAGGCGTAACGCTATAGGCACGGTTTTTGTAAAACCGCTTGGTAGTTAACTGGATTGCAATGCAACCTTAAACTACGACCCACTTTATGATTGTCATAGTTGATACATTGTGACCTGTCAATCACAAAATAGTAAACGACAGTAGCTGGTACTTAGCCGCTAGTCAAATATGGTTTATGTGTGCACGTGCTATGCTACTAATGTGTATATAATAAGCTAAATAAACAACCAGCCCGAATTGTGCATTATTATAACTAAAATTATGTCGTCCGTCTATTACATGTAATCGACTTTATTGAAACGCTACCAGATCACACTAATCCAATTGTGACCCCCGCTATGTTAGCAAAAATCAAATTAAAACTAAATTAAATGCTTATCTGCAGATGTCTTGTGAAAAATGATGAAAGTGCACTATGAAATAATGTACGAGAGAATCAGTCTGCACTGAGATCTATTAGATGGACAGTTTTGCGCAGAAACAAAATATATGATCATTGCTTGAGCAGGTTCTAAAGGTGACTATCGATTTCCTCCAGTTACCGCTTCGGTGATGACAGATGTTGAACTCGACCTTGCGTACCAATATCAATGCCTGACGGCGACCCTGTACATCGACAAAACTACTCCTGGGCGCCCTTGACTGTGTTAGTCGACTTTTCGGCTCATAACGAGTAACTCCTCGTCGAAGAAAGTTGAGTCGCCAGTTATATAGCTAAAACAACAAGTGCTTCGCCGACTTGCGTAGAACGTTCCGCTCCCCTTCAGTGTCATCTACGACAATTCTCTTTGCTTATTACAGACTTACAATACACAACTCTACATTGTCACCGCCGTCTAGTATGCCTCCCGGGGAGCAGGCCGTTTTCTCGATTGAGAACAGGAGTAGAAGAACCGCTAAGGAGGGTCCTACTCATAAAGCTAAATGGATAAAGACAGTCCTATCTGATACCGTTGAAATCGATGATCAACGACAATGCCGCGAGGTGTTTAATGTGTTCGGCTCGTGCTTATGGCACTTGAAACTCTGCGGTGTTTGGAGAGGATGTTTCGTTGGCTGTATTGAAGGTGTACCTAATGCGCACGGCCGGTACAAATGGTAAGTCGTTAGAGCCGCTGCATCATTTCTTCATGCCACTGCCCTTAGGGGAATATTGCAGAATTTGTTAAATCTCAGATCTTGCACGTCGCTCGCTGAGCGAAAAAGCGACTTCACGCGTATCCGATGGATATACATTTAATTATATCTGTGCAGCTTAAACTACCAACAGAAATTAAAAAGAAACATTCATATTTGTCTAGGGCATTGCCGCGTATGCCGCGGGAGTGCTTCAACAACGCTCATCTAGAGGGACTATTGTTGCAGTACTTATTTACTATAAAATTGATATGTATATTTCATCGAAATATTACTAGCGTTTGCAACATAAATTATTCTCTGTATGTTTTCTATTCACCATAGGTTTCAACG